TGTTGATTTCATGGTGTGATTACTTTCACATTACCAACATGACATCACTAAACTCAGAGTTGGGAAGAGATGCATGGCTGCTGGGATCCACCAAACCACCAGTTAAGAATGCAAAGAAGGCATTTTCTTCATACTATTATGCTGAGAGGACTTCATAAAAGAGGAAAGATTTGGGGGACTAGGCATTGAAGGATATTGATTAGGACTTTCCATGGTAACTGACAGAAGCTATTCAAACTAGCTTAAAGAAAGAGAAAAAGAATACGCGAATGAGACTGTTTTAGCACAAGTATCTGGAAAAAGGGCTTTAATAATGTAGTCATGGCACTTGCTCCACCTTTCAGTTCTTCTTGGATCTACTTCTATTTGTGTATTGATGTCATTGTCTCCTGCCATAAGCAGGCTCTCTCCAAGTGCCAAGAAAAACACGGCTAGTGGCAGTCCAGGGGCTACCTCTTTGCAGTCAACAATTCAAAAGAAAAGCAATGCACTCTTATGGAGATCACGTGGAAAGACTCTGATTGGCTCACTTGGGTCTCATGCCCACCAATTCAACTCCTAACTGGGCAGAAAAGGAAAGGGTACGTAATTCACATGCCCCTGCTGCTGTAGCCAGAGAGCAGATAGAGCACTAGGATGGACCTTTCTTCCCCTACCACCCAAAACACATGAGAGTCATCGAAACAGAGTTCCCCAATGGAAAAAGCCATGGATTTGTGGTAGAAATATGGGTAAGGCTTTGTGGAGAGGCAGAAGAAGATACAGTAATTAGAGGGAACGGCATATGTAGGTGCAGAAATGTAAACATTGATGGTGCATTTGGGAGTCAGTGAGAAAACCACCCTGACCAAAGCAGAGCTTACCTATAAGACAGTGCTTTGCAATAGAGGGCAATTTTGCCCCTCTGGAAAGATTTGGCAAAGTCTGAAGACATTTTTGGTTGTCCCAACTGGGGTTGAGGGGGGCTGCTACTAGCAGGTAGTATCTAGTGGGTAGAGGCCAGAGATCCTGATAATCCTACAATGCATAGGACAGTCCCCTCAACAA